ACAAAAGCCAAGAGCTATTCATCAGCAGGTCAATTATGATTTGTCTTTACAATTGTTAGAATACAACAGTAATTAACATTAACACTGACACAAACAAAAATGCTTCTGTCATTATAATTATATCCATTAATGAAAGACATGCTAAGGTAGCCATCTGGCACGGCATTAAGAAACTACAAAGACAGACGGGAGTCCACATCTAAACTCGAGGGGAATATAACAGACACAGACGCATCGGAACAGAACCCAACACAGACAGAAACAAGACACTGTACATCATCTGCAAGAGTACAACAAACAAAAAAATTAAAATTATAAAAATGATTAAAAAAAAAAAAAAAAAAAAAAAAAAAAAAAAGTAAAAGAATGCAATAATTCAAGCCCAAAATTCCTTGTGATCCCATGTTAACTAGGCCTACACACATCTACACGTGCCCTTCGGAGCGAGCATTCAATACATACCAATGCGCTCCTATCTGCTTCTGTGAGCGAACCTGCTGAAACTGAGAGACCAAAACCACAAATCAAATACAAAGATCTTCATTCACGAGATCCTGATGTTAATGTCCTTCCCTATTCTTTTCTTCTTTTTTTAAAGATAAATATGTATATACTATATATATATATTTATAGGTCTACCACAAATCCTGTGCCCATAAAACACAAACAGGAAAAGAAAAAGACAGACAGGGACTATAGAGACTGAGCTTTGGGTGGAGAGTTGGAATGGCAGAAAGAAAATAATTAAATAAATAAAAAATAAACAAATAAAACTACAGCAAAAGATTCTTGGTAACAGTTTAAGGGACTGGCTGTACTGGGTATTATGATTTTGGAATATTTCTTAGGCATGACTGTTTGACTAGAAAGAAACAAAAGAAAAAATATATATATAATATTTGGATACAAATTATCACATTTCATGGTTCTAATCCTCTTCAAATAGTCAAGATGAAATTATCGACTAAATGATTTGAAGTCTTCTCGAAAGCTACGAGGCTTATAACTAAGACAAACTTCCCACTGCAAACCTTAGCAAGAGAAAGAATTAAAAAAGAAGAAAAATAGTCAACAGTTCCAAGAGTAAAATACAACAGTGTATTAATATTCAACAATAAAAAAAATAAAAGACATCTGCCTCTATTGCAATAATTTTTGATGACGTAATAAAAAAAAAACAGAACAAAACCTCATTCCAATCATCATTATGGCTCAGTATTAACCAATCCGGGCAACGAAATCAGTGCGTTTGAAACTGGCATTTATCAGATGTGCTCTTCTGATGGGCATTCCAAAGTGAAAAAGGGAGGAAAACAGGGTGGCTTCAGGACTCTACAAGTTGACTCTTACTCAAGTTGCCAACTTCTACAAGACTGAGCGAGGAGGAGGAAGATGGGGAGACGTACTGAGAAGTGGAACGGTTAAAGCTGGCTTTTCTTTACATCTTTAGCCATATACTCAGCCATGGGGAAATTAGAAGGAACAAAAATAAGAGGAAATCACTTTCCCTACAGGAAAATGTTGCATATCACCATTCTGCAATAATAATAATAATAATAATAATAATAATAATAATAATAATAATAATAATTGATAATATAATAAAAAAAATCCTGAAATATTTATATATATGAAAAAAGCCAAACCACTGAGATTGTCTCTGCAGAAAACAGATTTCCACTGACCCAAGTGTAGGCAGTTATTATGCAACTACAAGGCACAGAAGCACAGAGTGGTTGTTAGTTAGCAATGCAATGACTAGAGAAAACAATAAATAATAAATGAAAGTCTTGCCTAACACAAGTCTGCCTATATGATATTTTGTAATCATTAGCACAGATAACAGAAACAGCCTCAGCTCAGTACAATGCAGGTATATTATAACTACATTTAGGCACATTCTCCTTCATACATTTATCTAGAAAGTCAGTTTTCATTAAAAAATGAATGAGTCTAAAGAAAAAAATATTAACACTAACTTCAATGTCCAAACTATTCACAAATGTCTATAGCATGAAAGCCAGTCAGCAAACTAACCTCGTTACATGTAATGTTCAGCATTAAAATAAATCAACTTACTTTACAATCCTTCTATTCTCTATTTCAAACTTGCAACATAAGAGACATAATATATTTAGCATTCTTCAGGCAAGAGTTATCGACAGATAACCTCTGCGCGCTGAGCTCTGAAATCCCTAAATGCATTAATCCGTCTCATTCATCATGTACATTATGATACACATATTAAGTACACGCAGCAGCTGATGCATGGCCAGAAACTTACCGTCAGATCGGGCACTGCTGAACTCTGTGCTCTGGGTCTTCTCTCCAAGGCCGGTGAAGCTGTAGTCCCCCTAAGGTGGCAAGGATATGAGGTGAGACAGTGTGCAGCTATAATACTGGGAATGAGAACACCTTGTATGCAATACATATGCACACAGAAGCATACACACAAGCATAAATGCACATACAAACACATACACAGATGCATGCTGACATACATGCACATCTGTACATCACACTCATGCACCCACACAAACAATCAAACACACATATCACTTCCAAACCTCAAGATATAAAAAAAAATCTCTGTATAACTGAAAATCTTATCAATTACTTTCCTCTATGATTCTTTATAAACTCTTTCTGAATTTCATCTTTTTAACACTATCCTTTTTATTATCTCTTTCTTTTTTGCCCTTGTTTAAATTTCAGATAACTGTGATTTTCCTTTTTCTTTAAAACAAAACTGAAATATAACCCAGAGTAAAGAGGAATCAACCAACCATTACTTACATTTCAATTTCATTTTCTACTTGTATTTTTATTTTCAAAATACTTACCATTTTCTACCTTCAACTACTGATAAAATGCTTCCAAAATGCAATGTGATAAAGCATGAGTTCCAGTCAGACAAAAAAAAAAAGACTGGAATTCTTGGGCAAAACAGAGGTGACATGTGCAATGTGAGGGAAAAAACATGAGCACTATATTTATTTCCCAGTGCTTTAAAGAAGCGAGAAATATTGGCTAAATTTCTCCTGTGGGTTCATCATTTTCATTGTATTAGCTTTTTCTCTTCTTTTCATTCCTTCTAATCTTTCTAGCACATTATTTTTATTTCTAATATTATTCTTACTTGTACTTACTAGTAGTCAAACATTACAGTTAATAAGAATACATTTAAACATAAAAAAATATTTAAACTTTAATGTTAGGTTCTGGGTTTTGATAAACATATATCTATAATAACTGAAATTAAACATAAAACACAATATTTTGCACTGTAAGTCTTAAATCCCATTAATTTTCAATTAAACCAATATTGAAAATACAATTACTATTAAAAAGCCACAAAAACTTTAGATGATCTGTTATATTCAGCTGACTTCTAAACCTGCAGGTCTCTCACTGTCTTGCCTGAGGCAAATGAAACAACAAGAAAAAAAATCTACAAAGAAAAGTTAAAGATAAAATGATATTCAAATACCAAACCCATCAGAAATTAAAATCTTTAAAAATATTCCCCATTCAGCTCAAGCCATATGAGAAGCGTGTGATTAGCGTGTAAAAGCTGTGACTTACATGGAGTGCAGAGTACGATCCAAGGCCCTGACGGTAGAAGGTGTTGCGCGGCGAGAAACCATAGCCAGGCTTTGGAGGCTGCCTGAGGGAGCTCACAACTGGAGGCCACACAGGGCCAGCACAAGTCAGTAACCACACTCCCAACACTCATACTCACAGCGCTCAGAGAACTTATCTTTAGGTTTGTGGGTTAGGTTGAGGAAGCAAATCATGGCAAAGGAAGCTAGCTGAGGTGTGATTCACTACTAACCTTTAAAGTAACATCCATATGATGTCAAGGAGTGTTAAGTGAATTTTATGCTTTCCCATCTAAAACAAAATTGCCTTTAAAAATGCTTTCCTCAAAACACCATACTCACAAATGAGAAAGATGAGCCCTCTTAGCTCTGTGCGAAAGAGAGAGTGAGAGAGTGACCGAGAAAGTGAGAGTGGGACAGAGAGAGAGAGATAGCAGAACGAAAAGAGATCTCGTACATCTAGGTGAATATATCTTTATGATTACTCACGATCATTCCAGCAGGGCCACCATTGCGTCCGGCTGCGGGTAGAGTGGACGACTTGAGTCCATAACCCGGTTTAGGCTCCCCTCGAAGGGCTGATACAACTATGATGTAGGGCAGGGTGGGATTGGGGTTGGAGGATAAGGCAAGGTGAGGACAGACATTTGTGGTGGTGGGGTTCGCAGGGGTTGCGGCCATGGGAGGCATAAAAGGAGTGAGGGCGGAGATTGATCATGGGAATGAGTCAAGGAACAGGTCAGTGGTAATGGGTCAAGATCCATTTTTAATTTTTTTTACATTATTATTATTTTTTTCAAAGGGGATGGTCATAGGATTAGATTATTGTGGGCCGTAGGTAAAAGATTTGGGTCACAATTATTGGGAGTCGGGAATTTTGGGCCATTGTTTTGTTTTTTCAGGTTGGGGATGATTTTTGTCAGGTTAGTAGGGGGTGGTATTGGTACCAGACATAAGGAAGAAGGGGGAGATGGGGAGGGGGAGATAGATGAGGAGCAATTGGATATTCCGCAGCATTACCATCGTCGTCCGTTTGTTCGTTCGCGAGGAGGGAGGGGGGAGATTGAACCGTGCGTTGCCCATTGTAAGCCACACACCACACACCGCCAACACCAATTTTATCCAATGGTCCAGTCCATCACCAACCAGAGACAGTGTGTATGAGGGATTGATGTTGATAGGTCGTCCAGGCAGAGGGAAGGCACAGGAAGGGTTTATGCCAGCCAGGCAAAAAATGTATTAAAAAAAAAAAAGGGAAAAAAGGGATTTGGGAGTGGGGGGAAGGGAGAGAAAACACAAAAATTTCCAGGTCAGTAAAAAATATAAACATGCAAAAACAATATATAAAAAAGTGTGACAAACTCAGCCAACGTGAGCCAAGCATGTGCTTTTTTGCAG